TTTAAAATTTCAAAACAAAAATAAAATCTCTAAATCCATAGAAATGAAAATCATTGCAAATGATATCTATGCCCAATTTCAGATTTAGCATTCATTTCACTTTGAATGATTAGTTGCTGTTCTTTAATGAGACACCTGTCTTCTTCACATACTGCACACAAACATTTGCAGAAACTCTAGCCTCTCAGTTTGTTTAATTCAGTATTTGGTGGCCATTTCTTGTTCATTCACACATTTGCTGGTCCACTTGTTACAAAAAAGCAAGTCTGTAATGAAACAGAAGGAAATAGAAGTATTACCATCAAAACAAGCATGATTAGACTAGCTAGGTTTTTAAAAATTAAGATTTTTTTTTAGAGAGACATTTTAAAAGTTATAACACTTCCAGATCCATTCATATAAACTGGTCTCTCTTTTCTTGTCTACTTGTTGCAACCTCGTCATATCTGTTCAGATATTATGTCTCATTGTGCCTCCTCCTACCAGAAATGAAAGGTGGGCACAGATCCAATCAGAAATATATCAATTGAGAATCAATATGATAGCCAAATGGCCTATTGACCAGGATATCTACGTTCCATAATTTTTACTATAAAGGAGTGTTACTGAAACTTTAAAAAGAATTTCTGTAAGATGGACTTAAGCCTAAGGATAAATAATAACTAAGTTTATTGAACATTTAAATAAAGCAAGACAGAATCTGTGTCAAATATACTAAACACTATAACTACCCGTTAAGTTAGTTTAATTATTACTATTTCCTAACCGAGGACTTGTTAGCAGGCTTTGTTTGTTTAGTCTAGGTTATTTTATAGCTTCCCTGAGCTTCTCTGGCATTACTGGGGTTTAGAGAATTCCTCTGCGTGGGCTTGCTGCCCTCTCTCTTTTGGTCCTATGCTCTTCACCCCTTCCTCAGATTTCTTCTTCACACTGGTATCTTGACTTATGGAGCTTCCTTCTTTCTTCTTCTAGAATCAGTTTCCACATTCCAGCTGCACTACGCTATTCCTTTCTGTCTGTGATTGAAGTCAGGTTGCTCTGGATCGAAGTTTATTTAATAATCTCTCAGGAAACTGTGACATAAACCTGAGAAGAAAACTAGCTTCTGGCAGAAGGAAACCAGGAGGACATTCCCCCAAGAATCAAAACATACTTATTCTTTTCAGTGGGTTTTTAAAATAATTAAAAGTTAGCAGCCAGCAATTGCACCAGCCACATTTCAAGTGCTCAAAGGCCACGTGTGGCTGGTGGCTACCTTATTGGATGGTGCGGCCAAAAAACATTTTCATCACAGTAGAAAGTCCCACTGGGCAGCATTGTTTCAGATGATGTATATTTCTTTGCTCCTTTTTCTTTATTTGTATTGTTGTCACTATTACAGATGCCCCCATTCCCCCCATCACTTGCTCTCCTCCCCTCAGCTCTTTGCTTTTTTGTTTTGTTTTTAACTTATACAATGGCTATAAATTACTTTTATTATCAAAATAGCAATGAGATTATTTACACCTTGAGGGAAGCTTCCTTGCTTTTAAAATAAATTTAGGTGAAAGGAAATCCATATCATGATTTACTTTATCTAAAAATATATCACAGCCCTAGTTGGTTTGGCTCAGTGGATAAAGTGTCAGCCCGTGGACTGAAGGGTCCCAGGTTCAATTCCAGTCATGGCCATGTACCTCAGTTCCAGGCTCAATGCCCAGCCCTGGTTGGGATCCCTGTGGGAGGCAACCAATAGATATCTCTCTTTCACATTGATGTTACTCTTTCTCTCTGTGTCTCTCTCTCCCTTTTACTCTTTTTAAAAATCAATGGAAAAATATCCTCGGGTGAGGATTAACAAATTTTTTTTTTAAATATGTTACAAATGGTGTTCTATATGATGTTATCCAACTTTTTCTTGTTAAACAGTGTGCTTCTCAGAATTTTCTTCATTTTAACTATCCAAAATACCAAATTGTTCAGCTCCTCACTAGGTCCTTTACTTCAGAGTCTCACTGAGAACATCTACTCAACCAGAAGTGGAAAAGAAAATTACTTGTTTGGCAATTAATTTTTAGTTGTATTCCTTTTATATTTATATGTGCACAGAAGAATGGTGTACGCACAGGGTGGAAGAAATGGTAGTAGAGGCATCTTTGAGATATTTTAGGAAGTTTGTCAAATATCACATACTAATATCAGAAGCTTCAATGTTGGAGACCCAGGGGTCATGTTGCACATATTCATCCATCCATCTATCTATCCATCCATCCATCCATCCACCCATCCATTCCTTATTTAATTTGGTCTGCACAGATATGGCCCACGGAGGGGGAGGAGAGGGTAACTTATTAAAAATTAATTTCCTTCATTTAAAATTTGGAAAAAAATTAAGAACATGGATTCTGCTTAAAATGTCAAATCTGACAATACTGGATCTAGGGTTGTGCAGGGCAGCTCAGTGGAATATGAGAAGCAGCCTCCTCCTTCAACAAAGTATGCTTTTGTGCTGTCCAAGGTGTCAATACCCCACCACTCCGACTGTCTCCCACAGCCTCATCTGCTGGTGTATTTATGTCATTGGCACCAGCTACATAGGCATCTGAGTTTGAGTCTGTTCCTTATTAGAAGAGCAGTCAGCACTCAGTCTGGTTAGATGTGGGAGTGCCTCAGGCACTAACTGATTTGATGCAAGAGAAATCAGGCAGCGATAATCCTGTCCTATCCCAATTCAGATTAATCAATATTTCACCACCACTTCCACAAACTTCTATCAGTGTCATATTTGGCTTTAAGGGTGTTCATCAAAGTGACTCACTGTTACCATAGCACACAGTATATGCACATTAAAATATATGCACCAAAAATATCATGCGTTTATAGTTAACACTATCCACGATAATATGACACACAATAAAGCAACTTTAATTTCAACAGATTTCGTTACTCATTCAATTCTGCTCTTTGGAAGACATTAGTCAAAGAGATCACTTACTCTTCTTAGGGCTGCTGACTAGATGTCTGCGGAACTATGTGAATCATCTAAGACACACATATGTCACTAAGGAAGTGAGCAGACAGCTGTGTATGACTGATTGCCAAGATGCCTTTAAAGGAGGCAAAAATGTTTTGTGCAATCAGTGCCAGTGAACAATCAGGCGAGTCCTGCCAAGCGTTACTCTGAAGGCCAGCACCCACATGGTCTTCTGTGTGCTGTGTTTGTTTTTGTGGCTGCTGTTTCAAGCCACTCATCCTTTGCACTCCTTAGTACACAGTTCTTTCTCCACTGGTGCAAGGATATTAAGAAGCCCGGAACCTGTTGCATAAGACACCTGTCTGAGCAGGGAATACTACCCAAGGTAAAAAAAAAAAAATCTACAAAAACATTCTAAGTGGAGCCGTGTAGAGCATCTTGGATATATCCTGTTCTGTTTACTTGTGTCTCTGGGTAATTGAAAAGCCCAGGCTGCTGCATTTCGGAAGTGATTTCTATGCTGCTCTGGGCGCATTTCCACATTACGATCCTTTTCAGAATAGGCTGTGTAGAGATGCCTCACCAATGCGGCATTATTAGGGTGGGTAAATGGGCATGGGATTGGAAATTCAATCCCCTTGAGGTTAGGCCTTAATACTTTGGAGAGAGTATTTTTTTTAGTAGTTTAATCCCTCCCCCCTTTTTAAATACTTCAGAGAAATTCCAAGTGAACCAGTGTGATCATTCTCATTTCAGAAACGAAAAGACTGATACACAGAAGGAAAGGAACGGTGGGTAAAACCCCAACAGGGGAGAGTGAAAAGAAAGAGGTTGGTTTCCAGTCGCAGGCTTTGGTTTTCCTCACTTGACAGGGTCTGCTGTCCCCTCCGAAAATGAACATGGGAAAGAGAGACCGGCTGTAAACTTCCAGAAGGAGTGGCTCCGAATAACGAGTTTGGGGGAGGAACACCAAAGACACAGACCCCATGGCTCTGTGGACTGGCTCCAGGGTCCTGCTTTCCTCCGGTCCACTACCAGGCTGCAGGCGTTAGCACGGGGCTTCGCCAGGAGGAGACAGGCGCTCGTGGGGGGAGGGAGGGGGCAGTCAAGGTTTGGGAAATGACCGAAGAGCGAAGGATCTGGAAGTCAGCTAACTGGCTAAAGCGCCCTTTGGTTTTATTGGGGACCCACTGTTTTCCTCGTCCTACGCCAGCCCCTGCCCGGAGCCAGAGCGCACACCACGCCCACTGCTGCTGGAGCACCGGCAGCCGCGCTACCCGCTTGACTTGTGGGCAGACACCTGTTCGGGCATCGCCGATCTTGGGCTACAAGGACCTGAGCTCGCTTCACCTCAGCGACCCCCGTTGAGAGTGGCATCAGCGCCCCGCGTTCCAGCCCTGGAGCTGGGCGCCCGGG